CTAGGGGGTTTGACTCTAGGCTGTTCGAAAACCTCTCCCTGGTTCATAGTGTTCGCTCGAGGTGTGTTCCTTTGGTTTTGTTGGACTTGGTTAATAAGGACATCCTCTCAAAAGGCTACCCCTTGATTTTCTACCATATACTCCCTCTGTGGATGTCGATGAGGTTATGGTACACCAAAAAAGTCCACAATGTGCGTCATTTGCGCGACCATTTGTTGGTTGGCTTGGGTAGTGTTTTGTATTAGAGGATTAAAAATTGTCCCTATTGTTTAGGCGAGCATCTAGACCATTTCATGGTTACTCTCATCCATTTGCTTCCTAATAACCGCTGCAGAACTATTGGTTAGGCCTGACATTTGGGTGGAAAAACCTATCCCTAAGGGTTGGCCATTTCGACCCATATTATTAATCCCAGACCATGACTCCTTCAATGGAGAATTTACATTTATTATAGGTTTTGGAAATGTTGACCCCATGTTATGTAAGTTCACCATCACGGATGTTGGCATTCCGTAAGGTTGTTCTTAACTGCCTAAAGGCATAGAGAAACCTAGAGGCATAAAGGGTTTGTTCGAAGCATTTCCTATTGGTGGGTGGGGTGGGGTGGGGGGGTGGGGGGGGGGGGGGGGGGGGTTACTAGAGGATCACGTGGCCCAATGTAAGTTAAAATGGGCAATCGACTGCGTAGGCATCGAACTTGCCATGGATGGTATCGGTTCAGAAATAGGTATTGAGATCGTGGTTCCCCCCGTCGAAGATGATGGGGTAGGTTCTCCATTGTTTAATGTGTTTTGAGGATTTTGGTTGTTTGGCTGATTTTGATTTGCCATTTTCCTCGTGTATCTTCTCTTTGGTCTATCTTCATTAGTGGCGGCTACTTTCCCACTTCTCAATAACATACAACGAAGTTTAGCCAGAGAGAGATAACAAACGTGAAGAACTTAGAAGAATTTTTCAAAAAGAAAAACTGTTAAAAATGTCACTAGCACCCAATTTCTTTACTGTGAAAATTGATAAACAACCGATGGTCTCCAAATACTAGTTAACTTACAGGATCAACCAGTGAATCCTAGGTATTGTGCTAATGCTTTTTTAAACTAAAGTTTGAGAGACAATGAACACTTCGGCAGTATTCATGATTGAAAAAATAGTTTAATTCGATAAAAAAAAAATATGTTGTAGAAAGTAATCAAAAGTGTTATAAAACGCGTCAAAAGAAACTTGTGCAATAAAGAAGATAAATTTATGGACAAAAGCATAGACTGAATTTGATTAAATTGTAAGAAAATGGTGTTTCATCAAACGTACATTTCTCAATAACTCTTTTCTCTACAAACTGGGTACTTTAAGTAATTTGAGTGACTTGTACAAAACTTGATCACGCACGAAATCCTATCACTAAGACCTCTTATTTATATTGAATCGAAATAACAGCCTCCAATAGTCTTTCTCCTAAAACAAGATAAGTGGCGCTCGACATGTCTTCACTTCTTTTGTTATAGTCTTTGAAATTAAAAAATTCTACAAAGTTTCGAATATAAAAGTGTGCAGCTTAGATAATAATTATAGTTTAAGGATGCTAAAGTGTATTTAATTTTGTGTATATACCTGTTTTTTTTTTAAATTTATAGTTTAATTTTTTATGTATAGTAGGTGTACAAGATTTTATACTATTAATCTACCACAATCATTTATAGATGTTATTTTGAAAATAGGTATAATACAAATCAAAAGTTTTTAATAATTCAACCTGTGTAATTAATTAACCTTATAAAATTTCTTTACATTGTAGGTATACTTGAATTAACCGCTGATATTTACAAGACACTCACTCATTTCTTATTGCACGTTACTTTTGGGGGGAAAATATAAAAGATAACTTGTAATCAACTAAACTTTTTAATTTTTAATTTGTTTTCCATAAAATATAAAAGATAACTTTACAAAATAATTCATAACTTCTTTTTCATAAAAAATTAATTAAAATTTTTAATATATGTGAAAATGACAAAATAATTTATATTAAAAAAAATGTTTCCATCAATAGAAAGCATCCTCACAACAGATATGATTTAGGCATGGAATTTTGTTGTTTTGGGTGTATAATCCATATCCTTCAATATCCTCTTAACAATATATGAAAAGAGTCTTAGCTTTAAAACCATCCTCACAACAGATGTGTTGTTTCAAGAGTTTGTGATCTTTATGCATACCAATGACAGTAGATGGAACCTCTGTCTAAATTCAAATGATTAATAGTAAATGTTATAAAGCACAACCACACTAATTATTAATAGGTAATCGGAGCGTCAAGACTCATGTTTATTCTTATATTACAAACAAGTTCATTCTTCATTTTTCTAAGGATGTGGAGAATGTATTTCAAAATAAGGAGAATGATACAAACATTTGAAGGGAAACAACTTTCATCATATGGAGATTTCCAATCGTAGATTGGATCAAACTGAACAATGATGGTTCGGTTATGGTTGCTAAGAGGGTTGATAAATTGTGGGGTCTTTATCATAGTCTGAATTTGAGCTTATGGAGTAAAATAATAACCCATACTTCAAAGAAAATAAAGAATCGTGAAAGTAAAAACTTATCCAAAAGGGAAAAAAAATATCATAGCAGTTTCTATAAATTTGTAATATGAGCTATTATGAAGTATATCACATTGGTTTGTTTCAAAATTTAACAGTGTCACATCAATTCATGATTGAGTTCAATAGCAAATTTCTTGACCACCTTCATCTGAAGACTAAAAGAAAGTTAACTAACTAACAATGGACACTGGTATTCTTGTTGTACTATACTATAAACTCTCCTATTATCCACCAGAATACCAGAAATTCAATTCCTATTGCAAAATCTTGGTTAAATATATTGCTCCCACCATTTTAGGACATCTGCATGATAGGGGTTAATAAAGTAAGATATTTACAATATATATAATGAGTAAAGATTTAAACTCACATTGCACAAGCAATAATAAACATTAACGAATCTGATTACGCAGAGAACTACTAGCAGACCAATAGACAATTATATGATTTACAACAGCATGGGAGGGAATTGCAAAATAGAAAAACTAGGTGGAAAATTTAGCATTAAACGCAACAAAACAAATCAGAGTAAATTGTGTTGCACACGAAGTTATCAAAATCAACACGGTGATCTATAGACAACTTGTTTGCTGCCTAGTTTAGGAATCCGTATAAGCCTTTGTCTTCTGATTCCAAATTACCTTCTTAACTTCTCTAAGATGCAGATGGAATTTACTACTAAAGGCAAGAAGTTTGTTTTAAGAGAAGCTAAAACTCCTAGTATCAAGCTTATTAATAATAAATCTCTCATGCTGTGCAACATGGTGTCTAATTGTGCCTTATCTATTTGAACCTGCTCACCACATCACCTCCGGCTGATCTGTATCAGTTGCTGGCTGTATCAGCAGAGCAAACATCTATACCTGAAACTATTGATGAATTAGCTACCCAATTTTTTTGATATCTTTTAGGAACCTAAACTGCTGCCTCCTCCAAGGCCGGACTTTGATCGTTGCATTACTTTAAAAGATGACACTGATGCTTTTTAGTTTGCGTCCTTACAGATATAATATTTTGCAAAAAGATATTGTCATAACATTGCGGAGGAAATGTTGCAGCAGGGAATTATACAGCACAACAGTCCCTTACAATTCCCAGCTATCTTAGTCCGGAAAAAGAGTGGTTCATGGCGCCTTGTGTTGATTACACACGGCTTAATCAAAATACTATCAAGGATTGTTCCCAATTCCTCTTATTAAAGGACCTTATGGATGAATTATGTGGTGCCACTATTTTCTCTAAATTGGACTTCTATTCTGGTTATCACCGTGTCCATATGCAAAAGGTTGAAAAGTATAAGACCGTTTTCAAGACACATGCCGGTCATTTTGAGTAGGCGCCGTACTGATGAAAAATGGACATCCTATTGCTTATATCAGTAAATCTTTGGGCTCTAAACAACAAACCACATCCATCTATTAGCGGGAATTGTTAGCTGTTGTTTATGCTATCCAAAAGTGGAGCACTTACCTAGTTTTTCAAGGGTTGTGTTGTAGTATGTGTACTGCAATATGTGCTGGGGGCCCAAAGCCCCCAACCAATTCCACAAAAATACTACTTTAATGGGTTGAGGCCAAAAGAGGCCCCTTCAACAGGGGGGCCATAATTAAGTGTTTTCAATTTTAGTAAGGGACAGTGGTTTGGGTCTTTGGGGCTTGGATCTTCATTGACAGGTGTACTAGTGCCAACATACTTGTATTGATAACTTGATAAGAAATTTTGTCAGAGACTAGTGTTTTGTATATCAAATAAACACTGATACGCACTACATAATGACTGTTAAGTAGAGCGTACTTCATACTTATGAACCATTTTACTCTTGCCTTTCACTTTCAAATTATATAGGCACACTCAGCTTTGATTGATGAAGTGTAAAAATGCTAAAACATAAATGCCTAGATGACTTGAATTTCAACCATAGAGACGTCCTAAAAAGTTGAATAGTTTAGAGACACTCACACTATCTGCTTCAAGCAATAAACCATACACATCCGCTGAACTTGCATGTACGCAGACAATTCCACTTAATTTTCACAGTTCAGAGGTTCAACTTTTATTTATACTAAACTCAAACTGTTGAGCATATACGGATACCCAAAAATCAACTAATGATTAATGTTTTTCATTCTCTCCTTAATTTAACTACACATCTAATTTGATAGAGAAACAGAACAAATGCAATTATCCCTGATTGTATCTGTGTATCTGTATAATCCAATAAATAGACGTGTAAAACAAATCAAACAAAGGACACAGTTGCAATAAAACAAATCACATATATCAACCCAAATTGGAAAACGAACTAAACAAAATCTACATCGATGAAAACAACAAGTCTAAAACTAAGTCGTAATAATTGAATATCTTCCTAAGAAGTTGTGAAAAACCTGAAATTCAAGCAACGGTGACAGGTTGTTGTTTGGAGGGCTGAAGACCCTTGTTTGTTCTATTTTGATCAGAATCGCCTAGAAAATCTTCCATGTTGTAGATAACAGTGATGTAGAGGGAACAACTAGGGCAGCGAGCGATCTCCTCGCCAAGCTTGAGATCTTCCTTTGTGATCTGGAACAGGTCCCCGCATGGACAAGGATACGTGTATGACTGCAACTCCTCGTTCCACTCCATGTCTTCGATTTCTACGTCATCGTACGACATAGCTTTGTTGTGATTTTTTCTGCACAGAAAAAGGAGAAGGAGGAGGAGGGACAGGGCGAGCTTGAGTTACAGTTGCCGCAGAAAGCTTTGCTAGGTTAAACGAAAAGAACGAATAATAACAGCTTAAATTTTGCAACCACGGTTAGGAAATCTATGATAGGTTTAAATAGGGTAATACTATTTGTTTTTCTTATAAAACAACTTCCAATTATTTTATACTAATTTTATTTCTTTTTAATATTTTAAATTTTATAAATTTATCTCAAGCCAAAGACAATTTAAATAGACTTTTTAAAATGAGCTATCTGATTTTTAACTGACCGGTTTTTGTGGGTTTTTAGTTTTTTTAGGATTGTGCTAAAAAAAACTCTATTATAATATGAGTTTGAAAGTTACTATTTGAATCTGATTCTAGATAGGTATTGGACTATTTGAAATTAAACGGATTTTTTAATAAAAATTAAATTAAAAATTCTATAATATTTATCTTAAATAAAATTAAAAATTATAGTATTTTAAATACAATATATTTTTAAGTAATATATTTTTTTTTTATAAATACTATAATATATTTTTAAATACAACACATGTCTAAATTGTATAAAATATTATTCGAATATTTAACCTACGAGAAATTAATAGAATATGAGGAAATGGTGTTGATTATATTAATGTATAAAATTTAAAAGAGAGAGATTTAATAGAATAGATATAAGATTTAGTGAGGTGAGAAAAATTAATGTTTTATTTTAAAGTAAGAAAATATTAGTATTAATATAATTTTTTTATAAATTTATAACTATGCGGGTTTAACAAGCTAGTCCTAATGAGTATTAGATTTTTTAGGCATGGGCTAAAAAAACCCTAAAAATATGGGTTCTAATTTTAAGGCTATATCTTTTCAAACTTGGTGGACCGACCCATATAGGCAAAGCAATTTTGACAACTATATGTTTAAGTGGTATTATAGAGATGGACTTGAAAAGCATGGTATGGGTAAGATTGATTGAGGAGAATTTATTTTGCCACTCCTAAAATTTGATTTGGACATTCCTTCAAGTTTTGAGAATATTACTATTATCTTATAAACAATTTTAGCAAAATAGTGTGTACAAAAAATTTTAGTAGAACAAGTAAAAAAATTGTAAAAATTAAAAAATTTGATAGTGTATTTAAAAAGTTAGATATGCATTTTTACCAGTATTTTTTTACAATATCCGATATTTTTTCATATAAGTGTAAAAAAATTGGTATTCTTTTAAAAAATACGGTATTTTACAGTATTTTTGAAAATTCAAAATTATTAAGTAAAGGCATAACACTAATAGCAATGTTTCTGTGGGGGTGTTAGATCAGATTTTTGGGGTGGCAAAATAAAATCTCGTACAGGTCCATATAAGAAGAGAATAAGGAGGACATGTAGCAATCAAGTTAGATGGGGTGTAAACGTTTTAATTTGTGGATATTCCTAAAGATATATCTCATGTTGTGCTTAGTGAGGGTTTTATTTTGTGTGCTATTTTGATCGATATTTTCATGTGAAGGGAAAGCGTTTTAGTTTTATCTACTATCATAGTATTTGTGATTGTGGGATAACTTAATGCAAATTATGGGTAATATTTGGTTTTATACTTGCCGAGAATGGGCATATTATACAGAATTTAATAGAATTATAGTTGATGGAATTTTGTTCAATCTTCGAGTGAGCGAGGAACAAGATATGAAATATGTTGATGATTAAAGGTGGTGCAAAAGATGTCAGATTCCAATATACGAGAAGAACAAAAATAAGACAACGTTTATGACATGGCGCGCCAACTAAAAGTAGAATGTGACACCTTTTTAACAAGAAAATAGTGACATGCTAAAAGCATACATGGATGACATGATAGTCAAATTTGAGGATAAAGAGTTATATGAAGATCATCTTATTATATTCAATTGTGTACACCGATTCAACACAAGGTTGAACCCATAGAAGTGCATGTTTTGAGAAATTTTGATAAATTTCTTTCATTCTGCCTCACCAAAGAAAGAGTTTAAGCAAATCCAGACAAGTGAGACCTCATCGCCAAGATGGAGACTCCTCCCACCAAAGAAAGAATAAGGAAATTGATCAGTATGCTCACAACCCTTAACATATTCATTTCCATGTTCGCTTAGTATGCCCTTTTGCTCTACAAACTCCTAAACTCTTATGAAAGAATGTATAATTTAAATGGACACCAGAATGCAAAAAATCCTTCACACATCTAAAGCACGCTATCTCCAAACCCTTGATCCTTTCGAGACCCATTGTTAGGGTGACCTTATTCATATACTTGGTGGTCTCAGCAAAAGCAGACAGTGTCGTCCTTGTGAAAGAGGTAGGCACCAACCATAGCACAATATACTTCATCTCTAAGGCATTAGCAGGTCCTGAAATCCGTTATGAGAGGGTTGAGAAGATTGCCCTTACTTTTGTGGCAGCTTCGAGAAAAAATTGATGTCACTACCCACTCTTCATAGCTTGGTCCTTCGAACTCGTACTGCTAGAACAACTGGACATCTTTCCACTCTTCATAGCTAATTCAACCTTTACCCCAACAGCAACAATATCAGCGAAATTCGTGGTTACACTACCCACCATCCTTTCATAGAACTCAGGACGAACGGTGTCAACAAACCAGTCAGCTAATTCTTTATCAGTCAATGGAGGTTCCACCTGGGAAGCAATTTCCCTCCATCGCTAGGCATATTCCTTAAAGGTCTCAGAACTTTTCTGCGTCATACTCAAAAGTTGTCTTCCTGTCAGGAGCCAAGTCCATGTTGTACTTATAGTGCTTAATAAAAGCGTTAGACAAATCCTGAAAAGACTTGATGCGAGATTGGTCCAATGTCAAATACCACTTCGACGAGGCACCTTTCAGACTGTCTTGAAAGCAGTGAATCATCAATTTGTCATTTTCCACATGGGCAGCCATCCTACGGTAGTACATTATCAGATGGCTTTTTGGACAAGTGGTCCCTTCATAGCAGTCAAAGTTCGGAGTCTTGAATTTTGGCGAAATAACTAAGCCGGAAACCAAACAGATGTCTCTAGCAGCAGCGCCAAAGATCTGGTACCCTTCTGTCTTTCTCAATCTTTTATCAATAATAACAACCTCCTCGCGGAGCCTATCACGCGGCTGGTACCCTTCATCATTATCATCCAGAATTTCATAAACAAGCTCATTAAGATAAGGTTGCACCCGAGTATGGACATTAGCTTGTGTGAAGGTAGGGACCACCTTTGGAGGCTCGGGAACCAAAGGCACAGTTTGTTGAATGTTCTGTATAACGGGCATGGCTTGTTGACCACTTTATGCAACAGGCATAGTTTGTTGAACTGACGTAACAACAGGCGGATGTATGAAACTCTGCGAAAGACCATAAGGAAACGGATTCTCAACAGAAACAACCGGAGGATCTACGGCAGCAGTAGCGTTAATCTCAGAAACCACAGTAGTTTGAGTATCCATCTTTGCATTAATAACCTGGAGTAATTCCATAATCGTCCCTACATTCCCTCAAAGGTCTGTTAGCTCGTTGTTAATGCGATCCATCTCTTGAGCGTGCTCTTCCATCCTTCTTCGAGCTTGGGCTCTAGTGTTGTATCGACTCAGGGTGACGAAACTGGAAGGCGAAAGAATCGAGTATGAGAAAATCGGGAGACACGTGAAATGCAAAATATGATGCAAGATGCGAATGAAATAACTTCATGGAATTCAAATATTTACAAATATTGCTGAATAACGAAGAAATTTTTATTAATTGAAAATAAATGGATTACAATCAAATATAAAGTTTTTAATGGAAACCACTAAACAAAAGCTAATAATGGCCCTAAGGAAGCATTATCCACAACTTTGACGAGTAGGTGGAGAATCGGAGGAAAATAAATCCTTGTAGAGTCTTCTCCTCTTGTCAGAAAGTGCCTTCTCGTTCCTTGACTGAAGCTGTTTTTGAAGTTCCTCGTACTCACTGACCATCACATGGTATTTGTTCTTCCATGTTTCTGCTTCATGTTGAGCTTTCTTCAAAGCGATGTTCAACGTTTCAGCCTCGGACATGAAATATTGGACAGGCTCCTCTCTTGGAGGTAAAGGATCTTGGAGAGGATAGGGCATCTTTAATTTGATAGCTCTTTCTCAGACCCACTGAAGGTACGGCTCCATGGGCATACAATTCGGCTTTCCCAGACTTTCTCGACCTTTCCTATGAAAATGTTTCTAAGAGGATATAATTTGACCTTGAAGTTCTTTGTTGTCTTCGAAGAAGATCTTCTCCACATAGATACTTTTAGGCGGTTCTTTCAAGGGATACCCTAACTGTCGGCGATCTAGGACTGGATTGTAGTTGATTCCTCTATTAAAACCGAGTAAAGGCATGTTAGCGAAAGCTCCACAACCATCAATGAGTAATATTCCATCATACATACGGTTGTACCAATCAATATCGGAGTGAGTTAAGGCCATAACCTTTTATGACCAACGTCCTTGAGGGGGACTCCAAAAAGGACCGGACTTAGGCAAGTGCGAAATAAACCACTTGTATAGTAACGACACACAACAGGTAATCAACCCTCCACCACAGAGGTTTCGGAGATGGACTGAATGATAAGTATTACCCAATAAGGTTGGTACTGGATTCCTTTGCATGAAGATCTTGATGGCGTTAAGGTCCACAAATCCTTCAAAATTAGGGAAAAGCAACACTCTATAGATAAGCAAGGCAAGGATCGTCTCAAAGGTAGGCATGCTTAGATGATCGGCATAATATTGGGCTTTCTCCATTAGGAACTTCGTAGGTAACCCAAAAATTTCACCCTTATGAGTCATATTCTCCTTAATGTCAGATACCTTCAAACATGTGGCTTTAGCAATATCCTATTCTTTAGGGTCCTTCTCCAAGAAAGGGAACAGAGTCTTATCCAAAATAGACGGCCCTACAAGCTGAGAATATTCTTCCAAAGTAGGTAA